TATTTTGTACATCTCTACTAACTATTATAGTACGACATAGCCCTATAGCTTAACTTAGATAGAGAACAAGTAAACATAGTAGTTTTTCTAGAGACTATACTAACTAGCGACAATTTGATTTAGAACCTATATGGCCAGGTAACATCTCTAACATGTTTAATCTGCTTGTAATCGACAAAGCTTATTGTATTAAGAACTTAGATATAATAAGCTATTGTACTATTAGATAGCTTAACCTAAAGTTCCTTTTACTTGCTACTACGTTAGTACTTCTAAATCGGATTAATGACTTTAAAGGGTATATTCGGCTAATAGAGCTTGATCTCCTTTAATAGTCTACAGATAACCTCTTACGTCTTAGAATTAATAAGGACACTAACGTATTTAAGTTACTAGACGACTACTAGGCTATACCTTTAAGGCTAACAACATATACTATAGACAAATAGATCACTAGTCTAGAAGTTAATAAGGACAAGGCTAGCATCTATCTACAGAAGATATATAATGTCTGTATAATTTAACGTACTTACGTAAGTCCTGATCTAAGATTCCCTAATCGCTATATTAGTAAAGCCTTACCTAGTCTAATATCTTAACGCCTTATATGTGTATTTACACTAGGGGAACTTAAGCATTACACTACTATCTTAGCTACCCTTATAAGCAAGCTAGCTCGCGTTCTTTTAAATAGTTTAATTGTTTAGAATCAGAAACACTTACGCTAGCTAATATTAAACTTAACCTAGCTCGGATTTTACTTTATTAGTAAATATGTTTATATAAATACTATCTTATATTAGAAAAGCAAGAAGTTCTTACTCTAAGAATAGTTAAAAGAGTTTTACTGTCTAGTCACGACTAAGGGCGATAACCCTAGATTTGTAGTCCTAGACTATAATGATGTCAAGTCATAACTAGTAGTTATATGCCGAGGTTTACTAAAAATTAGAGGCTTACTTTAGATTATCTCTAAACTCGTCTTACTTTAGTCTATAAAGATTATTATCTAGTATACTATACTAGCTAATCAGATACTTATTTATATAGTCCTTTAAGCTCTTAGTATATCCTATAAGACATACTCCTCTAACCTGTCGACTAAAGAGAGGAACAATACTATAGAAGCCTTTAACAAGTATTCTAATTAGTCTATAGTTTTTATTAGATTATATTACGTTAGGTCTACTAGACTTAATCTATAGGATTAGTGCTATCACTTAGTTAAGTTTAATGCCCCTCTAAATCGCGGTCTCTAGCTCTAAGCACGCGGTCGAGCTAGACAGATCAACTAGCTACACTATGTTAAAAACATTAAAATCTCTAACTATACTAGCTTTAATAACAGGATTATTTTATCTACACTTATAAAGGCTATCCTAGGAACTATAGCTAAAATAAGTATTAATTTGTCTAAGGTTAATCCTTCTATAATTAACTAACTAGATAAGGATAAAGTCACATTACAAGTAAGAGAGTAGTACCTTATTAACAATGTTCTTATTTAGGCTCTAGATCTACGTATCGCTAGGCATACACCTCTTAAACCTATTAAGCTAGTAACTACTATCCTAGATGTCTCTTAAGGTATGTCTATTAAGATGCCTTAGTAGACTTTAGAAGACGTTGACGATACATACATATCCGAATAAAGTAATACATAACAAGGTATGTTAAATTAAGACTTATGTCTACTACTAGGCTAACTATAATACAGTATATACTTTATTCTAATGGCAGTAGGATGTGATAATAGTAGTGGTCTACGATAGTTATGGACTACAATGGACTGTAATAGTTATAGAATACGATAGTTATAGACTGTAATAGTTATAGAGATACTACAGCTTCTTTAATAACAGTCTCCTATCTACCCTACTTACCTTATCCCTTAGAAGCACACTAGTAAAGGCTTTATTACTGTTAGACCGACCGTCATACAGTACTACTACTTTTAAATATTAATTAAAAAACAGAATATTACCTAATTTCCTTAATTTCTGTATTAAAAGAATCGTATAAGCTTGATTTACCTTATATCTATCTACAAGTTTAATACAATAAGTATTATTACTATTGTTGTAGTATGTATGTAGTAGAGACTCGACCTCTTGACTGTCATACAGTACTACTACTTTCAAATATTAATTAAAAAACAGAATATTACCTAATTTCCTTAATTTCTGTATTAAAAGAATTACATAAGCTTGATTTACCTTATATCTATCTACGAGTTTAATGTACTTATTATAAGGTAGCTATTGCCTTCCTTACCTTACGCGTTCTCCCTTCTATACTATAGTACAACACTACATAGCTTGATAGATAGTCTCTAGGTTTGTAGGCTCCCCTTACTTTATAACAAGTCCTCCCTACTCTTCCTACTCTTATGTCTAACCTACTATACTCGCTATAAAAACCTATCTAGTTGTTGTCATTAAAGTTAAGGTAATTAGTAACAACCTAAAAAATTAGTAATAAAAAATAATATTTATAACGATCACATATAAATTACTAGATACATAACAAAACAAGTTTATAGTATTAGATAAAAGGCATAGAGCGTACGTATAGAGACAGGTACCTAGCTTTTTTAGTTAGGCGATATAACTATTTAACAAAAGAGAAAGAAGAAAAGAAAGAGATAGGAGACGTAGTTTAGAGAGCTAAATGCCAGGAGTCGTATATAGAGTCGCATATAGAATCACATATAGAATCACATATAGAATCACATAGAGTTACATAAGGAATCACATATAGAATCACATAGAGTCACATAAGGAATCACATATAGAATCACCTCTTACGTTACTAAAGTAAACGCCTCTAAACCACTTAAGCAATTAGTTATCCGTCCTAGACTCCTAGGATACATAAACTCTACTACCTCTACTTTCCTTTTCTCCCTTCTCTTTTGTACCTATATATATATTTTTGATTCTTATTAGCGCAAAAAGTCGGCATTTAAACCTAAGGCACTAACAGGTACCTACTCGCTACTATACTAACCGTACCTTACCTTACCTTACCTTACCTTACCTTACCTTACCTTACCTTACCTTACCTACCTACTTACCTACCTTACCTACCTTCTTAACATTAACATTAACATTAACATTAACATTAACTAACACTAACACTAAGATTACAGATTCTATTAGAATCTAGATAGATTTTATTAGAATCTAATCCCTTAATTACTATATGTTTACTATACACCTTTACATATCCTTTACCTCCTATCCCTACCTTACTAATCTCTTTCTAGATCGATCTATACGATATTATCTAACAATAGCGACTCTTATTTTACATTAGCGCGACAAGAATCGTTTACTTAGCTTCGGTCATGTAAGGTAGATAGATTACAGGTTAGACAAAAGACCTCCTCTCTATTATTAAGGTATATATCCCTTATCGTGCTTACCTCTCTACCTTAATCTATCCTTACTAACGCGTTCCTACCTGTAGAGAAGCTTGTAGTTAGCGGTATCGAATTAGACGTTACTCTTATAAGTTATAGCGGTTGTAATTAGTTTCTATAGTACTTAAACTAACCAAAACTACTAAAATACAACAAGAGAAAGCTATAACAGACAAGTAGCTAGGTCTAATCCCTTTAGATTAGAGATTAAAACTGTAGTATACGACCGTTTTACTAAGAACGCTTACTAAAGCATTCTTGTCGACAGTAAGTAAGGTTTGTTGTGAATTTACTATATTTGATCTAATACTATAATAACGGCTAATCTTTTAATAATAGCTTAAATTTAATACAGATGCTATAGACATAGATCTATACGTCAAGAAGGACCTAAGCATACTAAAGAAGATACAGAAGCTAATTCGTACGAATCAACCCTTTCTAACGCATTCCTTTAGATCTACTTCTTCGGTAGAAGATAAGACTAGCTAAGCTAAGATTAATATTTCTACTAACGACTTTAACTAAAGCTTCGAAAATACAGTAAGAGAAAGCTGTTACAGATAAGTAGCTAGGCCCTAATCTATTCGGGTTAGAGATTAAAACTACGGCATACGTCTATAGGACACTGTTTTACAGACAACGCCTGTTAGAGCATTTTAGGCACGACGTTTCGAAAGAAAACTATCTTGTCTTTAAGGAGATAGTAAGTCTATACTTTCCTAGTATAATGTATCCTTGTACTAATAATATAACAGGCAAGATCAAATGTCGCATTAAGTCCTTTCCTCCTGTTTAACAATAGTTAAAGCTATAACATTAACTAACTTAGCGTTAGTTTAAGTCCCTTCTAACAAATTCCAATACTTAAAGCTATACTTTAATACAAAGAACATTCTCTCTAACATAAGTATATTCTCTAGTTATCTCTCTCTCTCTCTTTTCTTGTTAGATTACAAGGTTATGATAGAACGCCGTATTGCCGGATGGACGCGTAACAGGTGAGTGTGACACGTAACAAGTGAAAAGAGGCGCGCAAGAGGTGTAGTATGGCTGTTAGGCCAACGAGTACCGAATCGAATTGAATTAAATTGACTTGAATTGACGACGAACTTAACGACTTAGAGTGTTTTCTAGAGTCCTTATATACATGATTTAAGTTTTCTAGAATACTCTATACTATTCTATAAGCCTCGTAGTCGTAATAGGCTTCTAGACTTAATTAGGCATAGTATAGAATATTCTAGTACATGAATTTGTAAGCGAAGACACTAAAATCACCTAATACTCGACTAAAATCACACAATATAATCAAATACAACACTAAAATCACGTAATCGTTGAATTACGCAACTACTAACTAAAGCCACGTAATACGCCACGTAATACGTAATACGCCACGTAATACGCCACGTAATACGCTATACTATGTTAGTAGTACGTCGGCTAACACAGTAGGTAACATTTGTAATATATCGCGCATTTGTAATAGATCACGTAAATCACGCAATCTATCACGTAATACGTGTATAGTATCACGTAA